AATTCAAGCGTTCCTGCACGGCCGGTGTCACCGAGTGTGGTGCGGGTTCTGCAGCAGATTATGATGTACGCGGTTCCTCTATACTCACTACGGTACAACATTCCTGCCATGTCCATGAGCTGGAAGACGAGTTGCATCGTCGATAGATCATCAAGGCAGCTGATCACATTCGGTGCGGGTGATGGAGTGAAGGTGCCGCAGCACCTCCGCTGCCGTGGCTGCGTCGCCGCTGATGACTTTTTTGCCATACTCACTGACCAAGACGAGGTTTGGGCTTCGGGCGGATTGAACGTCTTAGCGTACGAGAATGGGGCCTGGTCGTCAGCGCCGCTTGGGAAGGAAGACAACATGACAAACGTCGCCGGCAAAGCGCTTATGCTCGTCGGGCATGGGTCAAGGCTCGCCTGTGTCACACGTGCCTTTACGGTGCGCCCACTCTCCATCGTGTCGAACCCGGTGCGCTCCATCATACCCTCTCGCCATGTGCGGTTCTTAGACCTTGGCTACAGCGAGGACTACTTCATGGTCGGCGCGGACGCGGTGCTGTACAAGACAACGGCATCAAAGCGGACGCTAGGGACGCCGCGTCGTGTCATGGCGTTGAGTCGAACTTCAGTCTCGCGTGTCGCGAGTGGAACAGGTTTTTATCTCATTATTGATCAAAGTGGACAACTGTTCACGATTGGTCGTAATAAAAAAGGTCAATTAGGGAACGGACAGCATCAGAATGTGCGTCGTAAGCCGTATCTCCATAAATCGCTGCGTCATCATTTTTTTGTGATGGTCGCAGCAGGTGATTCTCACTCTTTGGCCCTTACCAGTAGTGGTCTGGTGTATGGGGCTGGTAGTAACGAAAGTGGTCAATTAGGACTAGGCACTTCACTGACAGAAGCAGTTTTTTTCACACAGATTCCTCTTCCCAGTAAATGTGTGGGAATCGCTGCAGGTCCGGCAGGGAGTATGTTCGCGTGTGAAGATGGTCATGTTTACACGTGTGGTCTCAACGACTACGGTCAGCTTGGCCTCGAGGTGCCGGACCGCACAGTTCATATTCCTACTACCATGGCCTCTGTAACGGAGGGAGTGAAGGCGTATACAATGGACTTTGGTGCCTATTACAAGCCTGTGATGGCGACGCGTGAGCCCGAGTTCACGCCCGCCCCACCACATTCTCCACCCCCCAACGCCAAGCACGAAGAAACAGTTGAGGACGCATTGCCACAGGCGCAGACAGGGCCAGAGACGCAGCAAGGGACACTGCAGCCGGCATCTCTAGATTTTCCGGAGAACGATACGCCACCAAAACATCCGGGCTTTGAAATGGGGCAGCGGCCCAAGGAGAAGCGGGCGATGTGTGCAAAGTGCTGTGCGGTCATGTAGGCTGCCCTCCCCTCCATAATCCTTTTTGTTGTTGGCGGCGGCGTATTGTCGACTCCCATGGATTCGTTCTGCGGCAAGCACCACACTGCGCTCTCTCACTCTCTCTCTCTCTGTGTCTGTGAGTAGACTGCACCAGCGTGATCTCTCTCCATCTTATATAAGGCCTCGTTTTTTTTTCTCGCTTTTCTTTCTTTTTCTTTGTTTTGTACCGTTGGGGCGTTTATGCTCCTTGAGATGAGAGCCACTTACACACCCACACACATGCATACACACATCCACCAGATTGTTTGTGTCACCCGTTTGTTGTTGTTGCTGCTGTTTTTGTGCGCCGCGGTGATGGGGGGAATGGTGTGACGTTTGAGTGGGTACCCGGTACCACACAAGGAGAGAGAAAAAAGGGAAACATAAGAAAAACAAACAAACAACATGGCCAACGGCATGAAGCCACTCTTTTTTCCTCCCTGCCGCGCACATGCTTGCATGTGGAAGATGTGCATTTTTTTTTGTGTTTTCGATTGCCTCTGTATACATGCTTACACAAAAAAGTGCCTTTTTTTCTTCTTCTGCTTCTTCTTCTTGCCCTCCCCCTCCTCCTCCCACGCCATGCAGCAGCGAGGGGAAATGTACAGGGCGACGTGTACTGTGAGGCGGGCGGCACCCCGCTTCTTCTTCAAGGGGCGGCGCAATACGGCGGAGTATTACGTGGGCCGCGGTGGCGCGGAGGGCCATCCGGACATGGTGGCAGATTGCATTAGCGGCAGCCGCGCGGACCCGGAGTGGATGTGGTTGAAGCTTCTGTGCTTCGTGTGCATGACCTCCACGGTAGGCACATGGATGTGGCAGACGTACTTCTGGGAGCAGGCAAAGTTTTTCAAGGATGAGCCGTGGTCGCCGTTCAGGAATTAGGTAGCAGCAAACAAGGAGGGCAATGTGTCGATGAGTGTGAGTCTGAGGGAAGAGAAAGTCTTGCCGTGTGTAGAGCTTCACTGCGATAGTGGGACCGAACGCTTTATCTTCATATTATACCTGTCCTCGGTCATACACACACACACAATCTCTCTCTCTACATATATATATATATATATATCCCTCTTTCTCTCCCTTTCTTTGTTTTCTTTCCCTCTGTCTGGGGTCTCAGGAAGGTGGACGAGCACTGTGCGCTTGGGTCTATTCGAATGCTAATGATATTCCCGCTCCTTTACGGAAGCCGCACACGCACACACATACATTCACACCCTGCTGCGCCTCTGTATGTGCCTGTGTGTGTATCCACACCTACTTATCCCGCCCATGGCGCATCGGCATTAAAGATGATGGCTATTATGCTGTAATTTTGTTCATATCCTGAATTTACTCGGTTGAAAACTAACACTGCTGACTCTCCCTTCCTCTCTCTTTCTCTCCACACACGCACACACGCCCTGGGCGTCCCACTCGAACCGTCATCGACCACAGCAGTAATGCTTCCAAGGCGGAAATAAGTTCGAGATGAATCTAAAATGCATGTGCTGTCTCTGTCACTTCTTTATCTTCATAATTCCTCCTGATTATTCCTTCTTTTTTTTTTGTGCATCGTTTGCCTGGTTATTTATTCATCTTCAGCTTTAATATGGTCGTTGCACCATTTCCTTTCCTTTCCTTTGTATCTCGGACACCTAAAGAAGGGAGGCAAACGGGAGTACGAAAATAGTGCCGATATCGAGACTTCATCGCCTGGTTATTGCTGTTAGTTGTCCACTTCACCGTCGCGTGTTTATCTGTCCAGATATGGTCTCCTACTACGAGCGGCTGGACAACTTATTCGCCGCGTATGCCCCTGCGAAGCGCCCGCATGTGGTTGACCTGCTGCAGAAGTACGCTGGCAGGGAGGAAGCGATACTGAAGAGCCTTGTCAAGAAGTACGGGCCGGAGCCCGTCGTCTCCGTGTCTGATGAGTCACCAAAGGATGTGCGTGACGACGGCAACAACTACCGTGCGCGCCTTATTCGTTTTTACACTAAGTACGCCCCGAAGAAAATCTCATCGGTCGACAAGACTCTGGCGCGGTTTGCGGGAAGAGAAGAGGAATTGTTCTTCGCTCTAGTGAAGACGCACGGGCCCGAGCCCCCAGTGTGTACTGGTGGTGGCGCAAAGACGCCGGAGGACTGTTCTGACTCCCGTAGCACGATGAGCAGCAGCACCGCCAGCTGTGCTTGGGCACCGTACAACGTGCATGATGCCAGATGGCGTCTGGCGAGGATCTACATGGCGTACGCCCCTGAGAAATTGGCCATTGTGGATCAGATGATGGACAAATATGCGGGTCGCGAGGAGGAAATGCTCGCAAGCTGCGTAACGCGCTACGGACTGGAGCCGCTGTCGCCGGACACGCAAAGTCCACGAAGGCGTCTCCTTCGTTTTATTGAGCTCTACGTGCCGCGCAAAACCGCCTCGGTCGAGCCGATGCTGCAGAAGTACGGTGGGCGAATGGAAGAACTTTTTGGTATGCTCGTGCAGAAACTTGGGCCGGAGCCGCCGGCACCACTTCCGTCCAGCGGTCCACCGAAGATGACGTATCGTCAGCGACTCATTCGCTTCTACAAGGTGTACGCGCGAGAGAAGGTTGCCAATATGGAAACCGTGCTGCACCGCTACAAGGGGAATGAGGAGGAAATGTTCCGTATCCTCGTGGAGAAGTACGGCCCGGAGCCCGACCCCGATGTAGACCCCGACGCACCCATCCCGCCGGAGCGAAACTACCGCGCACGCCTCACGCGTCTCTTTGCCACGCACGCGCCCGAGCGCATGGACACCATTCCGGCGTTGCTTACCAAATACAAGGGTCGGGAAGACGACATCATCAAAGCATTCGCCAAGAAACTCGGCCCAGAGCCACCCCTAGACTCCCCGATCTCTAGTAATGTGATGACTGCTGATGAGAAGCAGCTCGCACGGTCAAGAACATCTGTCGTATTGGCCGCGCGTGACACGAACAGTGAGAATAAGATTATTGGTAAGCCAGCGGATGGGGAGGAACGTGAAACGCATCAAGCTGCAAACGCATGGGATGAGTTTCTGCAGTGTTTCCCTTTGCCCGTATCTGTCTACCGCCGGTACGCCGTTGATCGTTTGGGAGAAGAGCGCGTCTCCGCATTGGAGTCTCGCTTCTGTATCCCTCGTCTGCATAGCAACGGCACAGATGAACCACAGTGGGTGGTGACGATGAGCTCTTCGCCGGGAGCCGAGCATGTTGCTCTGGGGGAGGCGACACCGTGGTGTGAGGAAACGGCAGTGGCTCAAAACATCAGCGCGAATTTCTCGTGCCTTCTTTTGATGCTAGAGACCGTGGATTTCCCTTTACCGCCCACGTATTTGGAAGGTGACGTATTTCGTAGGTATCCATTATGCACGCTGATTGGAGACCGAGACCGGTCTACTCTGCAGACGTGTGCAGCGATAATGGATCTGCAAGCCAAGTTTGAGGGTAGCACACAGTGTATATTGATTGAGGAAGATGTCGCACGACAACGCATCGTGACGAGTACAGAAGAGTGGAAGCAGCAGCACTGTGCCAAGTTGGAGGACAAGAAATTATACTTGTGTCGTTTACTTGAGAAGGCAGTCGAGCTTCTACCAGAGTTGGAGAATAAGGAGCGAAAGGAGATTGAAGCAGTGGAGTGCATTGAGTTTAAAGGGATGGCATTATGGTTCATCGAGGGACTTCAGACAAGGCATGGTTTTAGGACGGACCCACGGGACAGGAAGCAGGAGCCAATGTTACGATGCTGGAAAGGTTTGACTATGAGCAACAGCAATTCGTCGTCACCATCATCATGGACAGGTCGTACTACTGGAAGCGCAAAGGTCCCTGAACTATGGCGAAGCCAGGATCAGGTGGAGCAACACATCCGGCGTCAACTCAAACTTACTGGCGATTCTGGTGAAGACCTGCTAGCGTCCTCACGGGAAATGCGTCAAATACTGGATACCGCGGTGGAAGCAGCAACACCAGTAGCAGCTTCTACGTCGTATGCGTCACAGCGTCAGTACCATTGTGGTGATGGTGATGGTGATGGTGGCGCAGCCACACGCAGCTGGACCTCGTTTTCGGACGCCTCCCCGTCACCCCGTAACCCATGCACCTTTAATGAATCTACTCGACGTGTGCTTCACCTCGGTGGGACGACGACGGCCAGCGTAAGCGCCACGCAGGCCTGCGTTGGGGTGGACGTCACGGGCCGAGACAAGTGGGGTCCAGCGAATGAAGGGCGACTCTCGGAGGTCACGCCATCGCCATGCCACGATGCGAGGGAAGCTGTGATGCTGGGCGAGACCCTGCCAGCTGGGAGTGAACAGCAGAAGCAGAAACCGAGTGATTATGTGTTTCAGGGTACCTTTCGTTGCACTCCATTTTTTTTTCAAGGGGAACGTCACTTTCCCTCCACATTTTGAGTTGATGGTCGGGGCCCGGTGCAATGCTGTGTACGTACGTCGTATAGTATACGCCTCTCCCCGTGTACGAGCAAGCGGGGGGAAGTTGTCGGGGGAACATCTGTACGCCCTGGTTTCTTCCTCTGTTGGCAGCCTCCAGGTGGAGGTTATTATCTTTAATGGACGCGTTGTCTTTTGCCGCTTGTGGTGTCGTATTATCATTATTATTATTATTATTATTTCGTTGTTGTTGTTTTTTTGCATTGCTGTTTTAATTTGATGCGCGTTTCTTGTCGTTGTCTTTTGTTCCTTGTACTGCTGCGTCCACTAAGTGTATTTCGTGGGTGGTGCGCATCCCCCACAGGTATGGCGCTGCGAAGAAGCGTTAATCGGTTGTGTTCGTTCCTGGGACGGTCTGCAAAAAGTTTATTCTTGTAATTTGCGCTTACCCTCCTTCTCTGCCCATCATACACCCACGAAAGCTATACAATATGAAGGCGAACAAAATGCATCTCTACATGACGGGCTTCGGTCCCTTCAGAAACATAACAGAAAACCCAAGCGCCACCATTGGCAAGACAGTTGCGCAGCAGTTGGGGAAAGACGGCGAGCTCTCGGTAGAGTACGAAGAACTCGGTGTGAACTTGGACGCTGTCTCGGCGTATTTCACCAAGCTTGAAGGCGCCATTTCGGAGCGCATGAACAATGATCCTGTTGAGCGTGTCCTGCTCGTGCACATCGGGGTACAAAGTATGGAGGAGGAGGGACGGCTGCGCCTCGAAGTGTGTGGCTACAACGAGCTCGAGGGCTTCCCCATTACTGAATCAACACCAATGGACGCGTCTCTGGAGAGTGTGTTTGTCCGCGAGGGAAGCAGTGCAGCTGAAGCAACGGCAGCCCTCGTGGAGCGGCTCAACTCGGCGATAGCCACTGCGGAGAGAGACGATGAGGGACGTCAGCGCCCGCACTGGTTAATATCTCGCGATGCCGGACGGTACTACTGTAACTACTCCTTATACCGCGCTCTGCAGTTACAGAAGAGGTGGGGCGGCCGGGTGTTTGCCGTCTTTGTGCACGTTGCGAATCCACTTGTCTGCAACAATCCAAGCCTGGCGGAACAGACGTCGCAGGTAGAGTCACTCGTCTCGGGTCTTGTGCAAATTGCCGTTTCCGAACTATGAGTCATCGAACATTGTTTTTTTTTTCTTTCAGGATTATTTTTCTTCCGTAAAATAAAATGAGCCCATCTTTTTCATTTTTTTTTTTGTGTGTGTGTGTATGGACTCTGCTTCTTCTTCCTTCTGTCAGCCCCAGCTGGATTTGCAGCCGCAGGGTGTAGCCGGTTTTTATTCTATCGGTGCGGGTTCGGCACTCCGCCCCACAATGATTTGTGCCAGGCCTTGTTGTAGTGTTGTGGTTTGTCACCCTTTTCTCCCACGCAATGACTGCCCTGTGTAAAGGGGGAGCGACTTTCACCTGCGAAATACTTTTTCTGCACTTCTTTCTTCGCCCCTCTATCGGTCTTTTTATTGTTTCCTTTGTGTTCTAGTTGGTCCTTCCTTCCCTTTCACCACCGAAGCAGAAGGGGAGGAAGAAGCGGGAGAGTGAACAGAGGGAAATGTTGCCACCCCCGCCATGGCTTCCCTTTATTGAGTACGTCCTCATGGCGCTAGAGCACCCGCCAAACATGTTTGTGTCAAAGCTAGCTGCCTGTTGTACCATGCTCTTTCTGACTCGCTCGGACCCGGACATGTTGCGCACACTTTGCCACAAGTGGGCGATTCGCTTCTCTATGGACCGAGGAAAACTGATTGCGCAGATACGCTGTCGTGCCGAAAGGTCGCGGAGTTTTCCTATATGTCGCGCAACATCCGTTGACAAAGTCAGAGATATACCACAGGGTCCGAAGCTATGCGACCCAGACGCGTGTGTAGAGCACTTTCTTAAGCTTGTTAACACACTTGTTCCATTGTACTTTTCATGGAACTGGCATCGCACTAGCGATGTGATACGCGTCAATAAGGAGTATGAAGAGTACGTACGCGAGACGTTACTGCCGTTTTGCGCCTCCACCAGCGCTGAAGCCGATGTGTCTGACGGTGAGGAAACGGTTTCCCTGCTTCCGCTTGAGGCGCCGGGGAGCAGCATCGCACAACTCCTTAGTCCCGCGGACAGTGTGCTTAGCAATGGTTGTACACCCAGAGACATATACAGTGGTCCCTTCAGAACCCCTCGTCTCACCTTCGCAACACTTGGAAACCTTTTGGAGCGCATGCGCCGCTCCCCAGATGGTACTGTGCTTCTATTTCACGCCAAGTTCTCTGCGAAGAGTTGTGAGGCTCTCTCAATATTTCAAGACATTCTCGCGAAGGAGTTGCTGAATCCGGTGCCAACCGTTTGTATTGTCCACGCCGTCGCAGAGCCGGAGCTTGCTAACATGTACAACATAAGATGGTTTCCCACCATCATTTATGTACCACCAGTTGGAGACGAGGGGAATTGTGGCGTGGCGATGGAGAGATACACATCGGTGTGTACATCGGAGAAAAGTTTCGCCTTGTCCAGTATGCGGGTCAATGAAAGTCCTAGCTTCAGCAAGGTGCATGGTCGTGCAAATCACGCGATGTCGGTTTCAGGCCGGCTATCGCAGGGTGGGGCTGGTCTCTCTCCATCGAACCTTTTGTATGGTTTGGCGTCGGATACAGATACTCCTTTTTCACTCACATTGAACGTGTCCGAACAAAGTGATGAGGAGGAGCTGGTGGGTATGATAGAACAGGGCCTTCATCGCGTCTACCCTGAAAATTGCGACATGACGTCGGCATCCCTTGTAGAGTGGATTAACAGCAAGGGGACAAAGATATTGCGTGGACCGGGTGACTTTGATGCTGTGAATCGTATCAATGTGCTTCGCGAAGAGGCAAAGTTTAAGAAGTACCGTGATCTCATATCAGCCGTTGTGATGCTTCGTCAACTGCAGTGCTCCGCCGAAAATTGCCCGTCGCCAACTGGAGAAGCCCCAGTGTTTATTTTTCTAGGTGGGGGCATGGCAGCGGGTAAGAGCACCGCAGCGACGGCGTTGTCGCGTAGCTCATGGTGGGCGAAGCACAAGGCGAATAGTGTGCTGGTAAACGCCGACGACTTCAAGACAGCCGTGACACCATTGTCATATATGGATAAGTCCACGCACGAGTCTAGTACACGTGCAGCTGAGAACCTCATGGTACAGGCTCTGAATCAAGGGCGCAGTATCGTCTTCGACAGCACAATGATGTGGCGTCCTTTTGTCAAGCAGGTTATTGACATGGTCCGCAATGCCCACACGACACTGTACTGCCAGGGCGTAGGCTACCGAAACAACGGGGCCACCGAGGAGTACTTCAGGCCTACAGGACCGCGACTCACACCGTTACCAAAGCCCTACGAGGTACGTCTGCTTGCTATCACCGTGAAGCCGGAGACGGCCGTGCCCCGTGGCATTCTGCGCATGTTCTCGACGGGGCGCGGCGTGCCCATTCCAATGCAGCTACGCTCTTTTCGCCTTTTTTCAGAGAATTTCGCCGAGTACCTGAGGTGGGTAGACTCCGCCACGCTGTACAACAACAATGTGTTTGTGAACCTTGAGAAGGGGGAACTTCCTCCTGTTATCGCGGAGAAGTCAGAGGAGGGGCTGGTGATCCATGACGAAGATGCATACGCGCAGTTCCTGGGGCAGCAGTTTCTCAACGAGGAGGCGGATAATAATCTGGAGCTTTACCCAGTCGCCAGTGAGATGCGGTAGGGTGTGTCTCGGTGTGCCGTCATGGCAGGGCTTTGTCCGTGCTTAGCTGGAGTGACGGGCGGCGACACACACCACATACACATATGGCGACTACTACGGTGAGTCAGCTATGCACAACGAAAAACAAAACGAAAGCGGAATCGGAAGCCACACATGCAGGCGCATGACCAAGAGAGGAAGTTGCAACGAAGGTAACAAATCCACATGCATGCAAAAGGAGGTGTCTGTGTGTGTGTGTGCGTGTGCGTGTGTGTGAAAGAGAACCGGCAGAGAATATGATTTTAAGTGGTAAAATTGAAATTAAGGGAATTTATTACGGTGGGAGGATCTTGTGGTTAAATAAAAATCTGTTTGGTGCTTTTCTTTACTGTCACCTTGAATTCCCCCGCACCACACACCGGTTAGTGTGATTTCGCTCAAGCACACGCTCACGCATTCTCCTTGTTTGTTGTTGTGTGGTGATCAGGCTGTTTGTTTCCTGCGCGCGCGTCTTTTCTTGAAGTATATATATCTCCTTTTTGCGTTATGTTTCGTCGACTTCTTCCCTACATCAAATTGGCCCATTCCTGTCGCTTGTATTGCTCTCTCCCACACCCATCTCTCCTCTCTCTCTCTGTGTGTGTGTGTGTATGTATGTGCTTTGTTGCTTTCTTGGCAGGTACCCCCACCCAAGCACACATATCGGAACGAGAAGGGAACCCGTGGTGTGTGTTTGTGTGTGTGTGTGTGTGTGTGTGTGTGATTGCGTCGCTCTTCGCTACTGTGCGGTATTATTCGGCAACATTGCACTCCGTTGCGCGTGGAAGGTGAACCGGCACGACTGCGTTCAGGTCCTCGCTGAGCAACGGATCACCAAACAGTAGGCGGAGAGTCAACAACAACTACAGCAAGACAAAGAGTACGAAGGAGGAGGGGGAGGAGGAGAAGGATCGCTAAGCAGAAAGCCGCGTAAAGAAGCAGGCCCTATACGGAGCGGGTGGTACACAAAGGAAACAATAGAGGAAATAAACATCCGCGGTGCTATTTCCAAAGAAGTAACGCTCCCCAGTCTCATCGACAAAACAACAAAAAAAAGTATTCACACCTCATATTACCGAAAAGGTAGAAAGGGAAAAAGAAGACAGACGGGAGACATACGCAGGAATTGAGGAAATGATGCAGTTCTCACGGACGCACCGATCTCCAATCCGTCTGGTGGAGTGCCCGCGGGATGCGATGCAGGGACTGACGCGCTTCGTCCCAACAGCGCAGAAGATTCGCTACCTCAATGCGCTGCTCAAGTGCGGCTTCTACGCAATTGACTGTGCATCGTTCGTGTCGCCTCGCGCGGTGCCGCAGATGCGTGACAGTGCGGAGGTGCTTGCCGGTTTCGATCACACACTCATTCAAGGCGAGCAGGCGCCGAAGATCTCGGTGGTGATCGCCTCGCTTGCTGGGTTCAAGCAAGCGCTCAGCACCCCTATCGTAAGCACCATTGGCTTCCCACTCGCCTGCTGCGAGCGTTTCCAGCAGCTCAACACACGCAAGAGTATCGGGGTTGCGCTGGACGAAATCGCGCACATGCAGGCTGCAGTGGCCGCCGCGAACACTGACATGAAGCCTCCGCATGGACTCACACTGCCGCTGGGCCCATCGAAGGAGAAGGAGCTTGTCGTATATCTCTCCATGGCGTTCGGTAACCCATACGGGGAGCCGCACAGCGTGGCGGTGGTGGAGCAGCTTGCGGCGAGGCTCGTGTCGCTGGGCGTGCGGACCATAAGCCTCGCCGACACGGTCGGTGTGTCTCAACCGCAGCTCATCTACGACACCTTTATGCGACTGCAACGGAGCTTTTCCGATGTTACTTTCGGCGCGCACTTTCACAGCAATACGGTGACGTCGAAGGAGAAGCTGTTGGCTGCAGTTGAGGCAGGTTGCACGCTGTTTGACAGTGCTCTCGGTGGTATGGGAGGATGTCCGTTTGCGGCGAACGACCTCACAGGCAATGTGGCGACAGAAACGGTGGTGAAGACTCTTCAAGAGTGTCGAATTCTTTCGCCCACGCTCAATCTAAAGCAGGTACAGGACTGTGTCCTTCTCAAGCAGGAGATATTCGGCGTAAGCGTGAAGGATATGCTGTTGTCGCAGAGTCTGCGCGATGAGAAGCGGTTTGCGCAGCTGTGCCAGGAGCACTTCCGACTCTACGACGCTAACGACAGCGGAACGCTTGACTACGAGTGTTTCCGCTCCTGCATGATGCAGGTGTTCACCGAGCTGGGTGGGGAGCCGCCAAGCGAGCAGAAGATCCGCTCAAGTTTCCACAAGGTGGACATTCAAAAACTTGGCTGCATCACAGTTGACGCGTACACGATGGGCGCGCGGCGGCTCCTCATGAAGCGGCTGGGTCTCTGTGAGAGCGTGACGAGCAACGAGAACACCGACTCCAAGCGCACCATTTCGGCCTAACAGTGGCCGTAACACACGGGAGCAGCAGGTCAGACTATTGCGAGAAGAAGGGAGCCGTTTCTTTTTTTTCCCTCTTTGCGATGCTGGTGGCTGAGAGACAATGGGATGCCAGGAGACCCCGCCTCTCTCCTTCTGATCTCTACTTGCTGTTGTCTCCTCTTTTGGCTTATCCCGTATTTCTCGCATTTTTGGGCGTTTATTGCGAAAATGGTGAGGAATGGGGCGAGTTAAATGATCTTGCGGAATATTGCAGTACGCACTATATTACATTGCATCTTCCCCACATTTTTTTTTTAGTTTTCTTTTCTTTTCGTTTCGCTCACTTTCTCCTGAAACGTCGGTGTGTGATTTGCTTTTACGTCCGTGATAGCATCCACCTAATCAGTGGTGTTTGCGATTCTCATCACCCTTCCGATGTTTCTCTCTCTCTCTCTGCACTTCTCTCTGCTTCCCTCCCTCACCTCTCTCGGCGTGATGTGTGTGACTGTGTCTATGTGACTCCGTGAGGGTTGTTGTATGTACTACTGTTGATTTGTTCGTGTTTTTTTCCTGAAGTTTTGTTTTGGGTTTTTGATGCTGCTGTGCCTGATGGATGTCCATCATGTTTCGTGTTTCGTGCCTTTTACGCCGCTGGGGGATTCTGCCAAAGTGACCGTCAGCTCTAGCACGTATGGTGGGCGGGAACTGGCACAATAGTGTATAATGCACTCGAGTCTGTGTGTATCAAGGCATGCGTGTCTGTGTGGGTGTGCTTCCCTCTCGTGTCGGTGACCTCTTACTATATATATATATGTGTGTGTGTTTTTTCTCCTTTCCTAATTCTCTCTTTGACCACGTGATGCGTGTTTGGGCATATACGTATATGCGACTTCGCAAAGGTCGTGGATATTGCAGCGGCACCACGTCAATTGAGTATATATAGAGAGAGAGAGTGAGTGAGAGTGAGAGACGTGTGTGCACATACAGAATCACACATTGCTAAAGGTTTCATTGTTTTTTAGCCACTGCAGAACGGGTGGTGTGGAAGCTGCTTGGAGACAAATCAACGGTGAAGACAAAAAAGATGAAAAGTGTTGCCACGAAGCGCATTGGAAAGGATCTGCGTCTGCTACTTGAGGACGTTAAGGCGCACGGCAACAATAATAGTAACAGTAGCAACAGCGATCCTCTTGTTGTGTCCGTAGATAGTGAAAGCGTCTATCAATGGCGGGTAGTGGCAAAGCCTCCCACCAGCAGTGTGTACAACAGCACCAGCACTGGTACAACGTACGAGTTATCTGTTATTTTCTCCGAGGATTATCCGCATGAACCGCCGACGGTGCGTTTTCTGACGGCGGTGTACAGTCCGCTGGTGACGCCGGAGGGCGAGGTGTGCGAACGCCTGATTGGCGCCGACTGGAGTCCCGCCCAGCATGCCGCTGACGCTATTCTGCTCGTCCTAAATAAAGTTTTTCGTGACTATAAAAACAGCATCGATGAGGACGTGCACCCAGAGGCACGTACATGCTTGGAAACAGCACCGCAGGAGTTTGCATCGCGAGCGCGGCGTGGCCATTGAGGCGGAGGGTAGCATACAGGTCTGGATGAGCTGCGCGGCCTTTTTTTTGTCGTTTGTCTTCCTGTACTGCCATTCAACGCGGTTCAGTTTGGAGTTATTCGTGTTGACCCTGCGTTTGGTGAAGGATGGTGGGCGCCTTCTGTAAATATGATTATTTATACGCATTGACATAAATGTACATATGTTGTCTCTTATTCTTGCTTGGTTTGCTTTCCATGAATGTCTCTTCACTCTCCACGATGTAGCGTGTGTGGCTGTAGTGCAACATGCGTCGGGCGCTCCGCAGAGGACATGCCACCGTTGGTGCTGCTACTGCTGTTTCCTCATTGCCCTCGTCATCAACACCACCATTTACGTCGTCGTCGTCGCCGCTCATTACGGTCATGCGTGGTGTGATTCAGTCCAACAGCAGCAAAGGCCTTCGCAGTGTTCTCGAGCAGTACGAGGACCTCAAGCTGGTGCGACAGCTGCGCAATAATGGTAGGGGCAATTACTACCGTTTTCAGCAGAAGTTGTGGCCGACGACGGTGGCGCTGGAGAAAGCCATGACAGAGCAGCTCTACAGCTCCACAGAACGCACTCCACTGGCGTTGTTGCCACAACCAAAAAGGGAGCCCTCAAGGCGCGCATTTATCTTCGAGGGTCAAGGCACAACAGCTCTTCTAGAAGAGGCACAGACGGCGTTGTCCCAAGGCGGAGAAGGAGCAGTGACAAAGAGGGAAGAAGAGGAGAATAAGGATGCACTGAACACGGATTCAGACACTGATCACATGGAAGCGATGCTTGCCAATCTTCTTCGGGCCGACCAAAACAGTATTAGCAGTAAGATCATCAGCGAAGGGGACCTGCAGGGCACCGTACTCGAGTCTGCTTGTGATCGTGTCAGGAGCATCATTCAAGACGACCTCAGCGTCAACGATCTGATGTCGCCTGCAGCAGCAGGGGCCACATCGTCACACGCGGCGTTAACGCTGCGACGCAAGCTGCCCTCCGCGAAGGATGACGGCGGAACAGTATGGGCGGCGCTGGGTCTGGACCCCATGCTGAGCAGCAGAGCGGTGGCAAAGTACGGGCCAGTTTCCACGCGGCTGCAGTGTCGACTGCTTCCAGCGCTTTTGCATGAGGACCACAACGATGTCGTCTTCAATGGTGTCACAGGGAGTGGGAAGACGAGTGCGCTTCTTCTTGCTCTTCTGCAAGCTGTACGGTCGGAATCGGTGGGTTTTAACGTTTTCGTGGCACACGACACCATGACAGCATTGCGGGCGTACGATCATCTGCGTGCACTCTGCGGTCCGTTGGGTGGCACAGTGGTGGACCGCCCGCGCGACGATTGGTCGTGGATGTACATTGGGGTCTTTCGTGACGAATACGAGAGGTACTACCGCGACCTGCGCCGCTCGCTCCACAGTGACCACGGGCCAGTTCGTATCTTCATTACGACCGCAGACACCATGTGTCAGTTGCTGTTTGAAAAGAAAATGGAGTTTGAAGCATTTGGTTACCTTCGTCGAGTCTATGTGGATGATGTTGGCGTGCAGCTGCCGATGGTGTCGCCCGACGCCCCTGTGGCGGAGATGCGAGAGCGCCTACGCAACCCACTCGCGTGTGAGCTGTTCCTGGGGACGCTACATCAACTCCCTGGGCCGCACGTCCGCTCTGTTCTCCAGCTCGGCCTGGTGTCGGCTGACATGCACAGGCCACTCAAGGATCACTTGAAGGCGCTCTGTCTTAAACCGGAGCGGCACACCATTGTCCTCTCGCCCGTGCGGGTTCCTTCCACAATACACTGCCTCTTCAGCTTTCATCTGTATCACGAGGATGTGTACGAGTACACCCTCAAGCTGATATGGAATGCAAGGGATACTATCCCTGGCCGAGCAGTGATATTTGTTCGCTACGAAGACGATCTGCTCCAGGTGCGGGCGAAGCTACGGGGTCTTGGCATGAATGCCAAGATTTTTTCAGAGATTTACCACAACGGCGAGTTTCGCGACACGTGGAAGTTCCTTCTTCTCCGCGAGTCGGAAGCGTTTGGGGTCGACCTACCCCTTGTTTCACACGTATTCATTACATTCTGTCCTCGCAGCACGTGCTCCTATCAGCACATGTGCGGCCGAACTGGGCGGCTCGGAAATATTGGCTGGGTGTACACCATCACCGAGAAGCGCGACGCCAAGAACGTCCGGGAGATCGCCACCCAATTGGAAGTGGACTTTTGCGACCATGTCATTGACTGTAATCTACTGCAGGTATCACCGAAAGATATTGAACGCCAGACGAAGGAGTATGAGTTGTACGGACTAGATCCTCAGTATGCAGTGAGGCAGCATTACATAGTCCAGAGTGAAAATCCAGACATGGCATACCGCAGCCGCGAGTTCTTTAGCAAGCCTGCAGCCAAGCAGTTCCAAATGGAGGATTACACACCGACACCAGTGTTGCATAGACGCTTTGTCAATGCGAAGAAGCTGGCAGTGGACGTAGAACGCGATCCTTCGGTGGTGGTTTCCTTGCAGAAAAAAGGCTTACTTGATAAGAAGCTGGCTCCGACACGACGCTTAAAATCGCTTTTAAACAAGAAGAGTCATGGCCACAATGCATCACCATACAATGTGAAGAGTGGCATTAAATGACGCTGTGTGCAGGTGAACCTGTTCGTGAGTGGGATTTTTTTTGTGCCACCATGACAACGTGAACGAGGCACTCCAGAGTCGATTAGGTGATGCCCGTTCTATTGTCCTTGGCGTTAGTTATGTCTCCACCCATGGTATATGGGGGTTGTTTCACGACCTTCACTGGGTACAAAACTAATATGAAGTGCTCTGCTCTGTTTTTCGGTGGCAACTGACGTAGGGAAGGGCGAGACGACATGAGCAGGCTACACTCCTCGCCAATTGCGGACTGGATGGGGGCGGCGGCGTCATTAGACACCACGCCGCAGCGCAGCAGCCACTCCTGCGAGAACGTGCTGCCCATTTCACCACACAGCGTGAGAAAGGCTACTGTTGCCTCAACGTGTGTTGCACCGCGCAGTGGGACAGTGGGTGTTGGGCCACATTTCAAATCTTCTGCAGCTGCATCGGCGTTTGCTTCTGCTTCTGTACCCTTTGAGGGGGAACACCTGACGACGCCGCTAAGCTGGCAAATGCATTACTGTCATTCCCTCGCCCTAAGCTGCAAGGAGCGCGCCGCACAGTTAGAGAAAGTGGAAGCGGAAAAGCGGCAGCACCTCAAAGACATGGCGGAGTTTTCCGATGAACTGTGTACCAAGACTGATTTCCTGCAAGCGTTAGAGAAGCAATTTGATACCGCTCTTTGTAGGGAAACAGAGATGCACAAACAGCTAAAAGAAGAGGCTAGGCGGCGAGGCCTTTTCTGAGGAATTTGTTTCGCTTTTTCTGTGTGTGTCTCGGTGTATGTGCGTTATGTGGCAGTTTCTGTTTCTCAATCTGCCGCGTATCCCAGGGACGACTATCACTCAATGGAATGGTAACAATTCTTATGCAGTTCGCTCGGCGTGGGTCTTGACAGTGCGCTGTATTCGTTTGACTCTTTGCATTTCTCATGTTGTCTACTTGGCACAGTCTAAAGTCTGAAGGCTATATGCACAGTATGAGGTACGAAGTGACGCCACGGAGTTCCCTTCGGGTGGTGGTGCGCTGTCGCCCGCTCCTGTCCGGGGAGCGGGGCCACAAGTGCTCACGCGTTGTGTTGGATGCAGACTGCGGCAAGGTGCTCGTGGCCGGCAAGAACCAGGAGAATGCACGATGCTTTACCTTTGATCGCGTCTTTGCGCAGGATTCGCAGCAGGAGGACATCATGGACGAAGTTGCACCGCTGATAAAGCATGTCCTGGATGGGCTTCATGCGACAGTGTTTGCTTACGGCCAGACGGGCAGTGGAAAGACGTACACTGTGGAGGGCATCGAGTACATGCGAAACGGCGGTGATAGTTTTCAGCCAAATATCAAAACAGATCCCCAGCAGCACGGCATTATTCCCCGCGCTATTCAGCTCATTTTTGACCGCGCACGCCAGATGCAGTCACAAAACAATCACGTGCAGTTCCAGCTCAGGTGTAGTTTCTACCAGATATACAATGAGCGCGTGACAGACCTACTGAATCCGTCTACCACGCAGGCTTTGGGCGCAGGGCTGAAAATTGGTTGGCACCGTGGCGATGTATTCAATGTGGAGAATCTTTTCCTCTGTGAGTGTGATCAGCCGGAGAAGATGCGTCGTATGTTCTTTACTGGTGCGAAGCAGAAAGCAATGTCGAGCCACGCCATGAACCAGCAGTCGTCACGCTCACACTGTGTCTTCACCATTTACGTCACTCGCTGGGACCCTGACACACCGGAGAGCTCTATCCAGTCGGAGTTGTCTATTGTGGACCTTGCCGGGTCCGAGAGGCTCACAATGCTTACCGGGTATTCACCGACTATTCCGCGAGAATCTATTGACATCAACACGTCGCTTCTCACATTAGGCAAAGTGTTCACCGCCATCGCCAGCAGTTCAAGGCGAAAATCAAAGAATGGGGAGGCGCAGGATCGCTCGCACGTCCCATACCGTGACAGTAAACTGACAAAGCTGCTGAAGCACGCACTGGGTGGAAATTCACTTACCATCATGCTGGCATGCATTAATCCCTCGGACCGCTACGTGGATGAGACACTCTCGACTCTCCTTTATGCGGGCAGGGCACGCAAAATTACGAATGTTCCGCGCGTGAATGAAGACTCGAAGACTGCAATCATCCGGCAGCTTCGCGCGGAAGTGGCCAGCATGAAGAAGGAGCTAGAATACTACAGAGAATTGGCTGCTGGAGGCAATCTCAGCGATATGTGGTCCTGATTGGGCATGCAGTTTTTAGGGTTGAGTGGAAATGAAAAAATAAAATAATGAATGACGTTTTGCTTTCTACATACATAAAATTGCTATATACAATGCATGACTCATTATGTGTTGTGGTGTCTTTTTCACCCTCCCCTATCCCATACATCAACGAAAATATACACTGAACAAAGAATATGAGCGCTAAGGGATGTTGTTGGTCATGCGCACCCAAGTTTCTCAAGAAGCCTTGGGCGGAGCATACGTCAGCATCACCAAGAACACCATTGGATATATGTTTTTAAAAAAAACAGGGTTTTGAATGCTATGAGGAACTGATCACAATCGTACAACGTGTCCGAAGTCCATCTTCCCTGTATGTGGGCATAAATGACCAGTAGTTGTGGAGAGTAAGAAGAATGGAGAAATGCGTTCAAGTATATGCTGAGAGCGGTGCGTTTGTTCTGATTGGTGGATCTTTCTTGTGGGTCTCAGTCGGCATATTCAATAATAACTTGGTTACATTTATTTATCATGGTTTTCTTGGATTTGCTCTGTTAGGGTCTCCGGAGTTCTCTGGCAATGAGGAAAAAAGGCGAGACAGAGCAATTGTCCTTTTTTTATTGCGACGGAATCTCTATATCCATGAGCCCTACTGCTATGACGTTTGCTTGTTGATTGTTCGTTGGATGTTCGTGATCTCGCGCAGAGCCCGAGATTCCGCTGCCTACAAAGACACAGTTCGTGTGACTTCCTTGATCTTTCTACCTCTTTAAACAGCAGGAATAAAGGTGCTACAGAGACCGAAAGGGGGAAAAAATAGGAGCTCCTATGTACCCTCCTCGCAGATAACTCTTTAATCACAGCTGATCATTTCGTGTAGAGACATAAGCACTGGCAACTGATGGTCTGCCGGCATCGCATTCAGCGGCTGCGTTGTGACTTGGTGTTACTTGCTGAAAGACGCCAGGCTCATCGGCTTAGGAAGTGAGTGTGCTATCCGTGTGTGATGTGGGCAAGATTCTTGTCGCATATGTGTAGTTCAGCGGAAAGTTACGTTGCCGTCCACAGGCACAAACTCTTTCTGGCTGTGTTTGGCTGGTGTTGTTGTTGTTTTTGTATTGTCGGATGTTGTACTGGGGTACAAAACAGACGCTTTTTTACCGTTTCCCAGAGTCTGTGTGCGTGTCTCCCCGAGGGCGGGGTCACCGCACCGTATCTTGTTGCTGTCGTCCTCCAACTGTGTATCAACACCGCATAACTCTTAATATAGCTTTCCGCCAGGCAGTCCCCACACATTAGAGAGACGCCCTCTTTTTCATGCCGCAGGAGGTGTCGCCGGGAAGTTCCCTCCGGGTGGTGGTGCGCTGTCGCCCGCTCCTGTCCGGGGAGCGGGGCCACACCTGCGCCCGCGTTGTGTTGGATGCAGACTGCGGCAAGGTGCTCGTGGCCGGCAAGAACCAGGAGAATGCACGATGCTTTACCTTTGATCGCGTCTTGGGGCAGGATTCGCAGCAGGAGGACATCATGGACGAAGTTGCACCGCTGATAGAACATGTCCTGGATGGGCTTCATGCGACAGTGTTTGCTTACGGCCAGACGGGCAGTGGAAAGACGTACACCGTGGAGGGCATCGAGTACATGCGAAACGGCGGTGATAGTCTTCAGCCAAATATCAAAACAGATCCCCAGCAGCACGGCATTATTCCCCGCGCTATTCAGCTCATTTTTGACCGTGCACGCCAGATGCAGTCACAAAACAATCACGTGCAGTTCCAGCTCAGGTGTAGTTTCTACCAGATATACAATGAGCG